GGCACTAACTGACTCTGATGCTATCTGATGTCGCTAGTGGCAGAGATACAGTGATCAGTGAAAAATGCTATATACTGACACTGTACTAATGGCATTGACTGGGTGATGGGGCAATCAAAGGGTTAATAGGGATGATCAAAGAGTTAAATGTGCTAATTTAACGTGTACGTGTAAAATGTAGTGCTTTTACTCGGTGCGGTGTTCTCTCTTCTCTCCCTGGACCGATGTAAGATTACGTCGCTTTGCCCAGAGCCACTGCTCACCCGCAAAATGCGGGTAAGCAGTCAGGAAGCAGTTAAAAAAAAATCTTCATTTTCTTTTTAATTCTCAATATGGTATTTTGTATTATATATTTTTAGCATTTTTTTAATTTTTTTTTTATACTTTTATCAGAATAGTACAATGTTAACATTGTACTACTCTGGGGGGTGATCAGGGATTTTTTTTTTTTTTACACTTTGCTTTGCAGGAGAAATAAAGATAATTTCTCCTGCAATGCAAAGCTTGCTGTCATGAATCTAACTCAATCATGAACTGTCATGAATCAGTCAGGTTTTTGACAGCTCAAGATAGTGGTCTGTAATTGGCTGGATGGAGCTGGTCACATGGTACAGGGTACTGTGATTGACCCCATGTATCATGTGACAGCTGTGGGCCAATCACAGCTCACTAGGAAGAGAAGCAGAGCTGTTATGAATGAGACTGATTCATAACAGCTTTGCTTACATTGTGATCGCATAGTCATCGATAGTCATCAGTGTTGATTTCATGATGTCATCGGGGGGGAGTGCTGCTGTGTTAGTACAGCCAGAGTGACATACAGGTACGTCGCTTTGCCTGTAGCTGCTGCCTGGCTGCAGTACATTGCGGGCGGGAAGCGGTTAATATCACTTTAACCCCTCTCCACCCTACTAGAGAATTTTTTTTTGCTGCTTATGTCCCTAAAAAATTCCCATCCTTTTCCAATTTCAGTGATAGGGACAGGAAGTAAGCAGCAATCTTCCCAATGGAGACCTAGGCAGCAATAAAAAGAAACTGACAAAGGTTTGTTACTTTTAAAAAAATAATAAAGAAAAAGGCCAACATTCCTATGCAGCTAGGTTGTCAACCATCCGCACAGATAGCCTGTGCATTTAGATTACAAAAATAAGTCCATAAGGTGAATCCAGCACTCTGTAAAACAATTTTTCAGACTGCTTGTTTGTATTATTGGTGGATGGAATGTGTACTTTCATATGACCACAACTGTAGTTCACTTCCCAAGCAAATCAGTTTCTGTGCGAGTAAAAAAAAATTGAAAGGAGCGCTAGGGGTGGGCCTGCTGGAAGCTGGTAGCTACTTCCTTAGCCTTCTTCTGTCCTAAGTGGCTCCAATCTGAAGTGGATGTGGGGTAAGTTTAATTTCTGTAAAAGACCCTGCAGAATATTTTGAACTGGGTATTTAAGTAAGTTTCATTTTTGAAAAAAACCCACAGAATATTTTGAACTGAGTATGGAGGTAAGTTTCATTTTTGTAAAAGACCCAACATAATGTTTTCACTTGGACAGTAAGTTACATGACATGAGTGAATGTTTTCGTTATCATCCAAAGATAGCTGTCAATGTCTGAGAAAGTTGCCTCCCTTTTCTTAACAGCTTTCAGTCTTCCCCTGTCAGTCCTGTCTTCACCCCACAACAGAATTAGTATTCTTATATCAACTGACAAATGTTATCACTGGAAGATGGAAATCTTCTGGGATTTGTAGAGAACTTTTATTTGCTGGTCAATGAGAACAACACGAAGGAAAGCATTGTTGGGCTGCTGCACAGGCTTCTAAACAAATCTATGTTATCATAGTATTGACTGTGGAAATTCAAGAGTTTGTACTTAAGCCCCCAGCAGAGGAAGCCATTCGGGTATCCTTCCACAATACAATTCAAGGTCAGATGGCTAGGTAAGGTCTATTTTTAGCATAAACAATATAATGAGATAATAATGTTTAAAAATACAACAATCACTATATCCCTGAGTACCCTCTCAGATTTGCTTTATCGCTTTTAATTTTTGCCTAAATAATGTTAATCTGCAAAATAAAATGAATCCTTAACTCCCCTGCTGCCTCAGCTGCTGAATGTTGCCCTGTAGTGAATCAATCCTTCTCTGAAGTGTCTTCTGAAAGAGACACTAGGGGTTATTTACTAAAACTGGAGAATGCAATATCTAGTGCAGCTCTGCATAGAAACCAATCAGCTTCCAGGTTTTATTGCCAAAGCTTAATTGAACAAGCTGAAGTTAGAAACTGATAGGTTATCATGCACAGCTGCACCAGATTCTGAGTGCTCTAATTTTAGTAAATCCTCCCCCCCCCCCCCCCCTTCTGGCAGTGTTGATTTGCTGTCTTTGCCACAATGCACTTTTTCCCTCTGATCTCCTATATCCAGTAGTAACATGAAGGTTGGAGCAACTACTAAGCACTGCAAAGGTCAAAAAAAATTGTCACTCCCCATTGCCAAAGGTGTAGATTTCAGAAGCCACTTTAGAGGAAGATCTCTTAGTGGATCACTATATTTTAAAGTATTATTCAATTTTCATATAGTTAGATCCACTATTCTTTGGAATGATTTTAAATGTAAATTATGTGCAATATTTCAGCTATATAAGATTCTAAGCATGACTTAAAATCACTTAAGCTCAATTCACACATTTGCTGTCCATTGCGTCGCCCATTGATATTCCAGATCAAGGATTACTTATTGAAACAAAACATAATCAAATGTTTGTCTGCTGAATGAAACATGTAAAAAATACCAGGTAATAAACAAATTACAATTATTTGATCCAAAGTGCATGTATCAAAAATTGGCAGAATAGAAAATCTTTATTTCACACAAGTAAAAACACCTACAATACTGGCTCTAACTCTTAAGAGATAGTGAGCAATAAAGAATAACACTTCCAAGGGTTACTGTTTCATTCTGACAAAAAAATATCACTTGCCTTCTTTGCACTCCAGAGCTACCCGTGACTCCAGGTTGTCCATCTGCATCTGCAGTCTCTTCAAGGTTAAGTCATTCTCTCTGGACTTGCGTTTGTAAGCGATTAACACAATGATGACAATGATAAGAAGAAGGCTTCCACCAGCAGCTATGCTCACGATAGCTGGAAGCGTTAGGAGGCTGTCTGATAACACATTGATAGAACCAGGTGAAAATACCATGCCACCAACATGGACCTAGAGAAAAATAAAAAATGCTCAAGTAAAGTAGAAGGGGAATGAAGAATGAAGCTACTGTATATGCAAACCTGGCAACCAGGTATAAGACATCTTTACTTTACTGGCCCTTTGTAAGATGTTAAAAGATGACTTTTGGCTAGCTGTCACAGGTTTATCACTACAAACAAGTTATTAAAATTGTGTAGATGTGCGTCAAAAAAGCCTAATAAATAAATACTATTTTCCGGCAATATAAAGAAGGATGAATAGTCATAATAGCTGAAACACAGTGATCGTCATTTATACAAATGATAGTATGGTTACATTTTATACTTGGAAGAACCACAACAATCCATTTGATGCTCAGTGTGAAAATATATGAAAATGAAGAAAAGAAGAATGGAGAAACTTACAGTAACTTTATGTTGGCCAGTAAGATTAGGCGACTCACAAAGAAGCTGAGTTTCAGAGACAGTGACATCACATGGTGTGTCTCCAATCAGAACAGTGTAATTCAGTTTTACCCCTCCTGTTGCAGGTGGACACAGATTCTTTCCCTGCTCAAAAAATAACATCACATTACTACAAACCTATGAGTGAAGTTACATTTGTCAACAGCAGGTATGTCAAACTGATGCTTCTGGACTGCACACATCCCCGTCTCCGTCTTTGTCGCTCTCTGTGATTTCAGCCCCCATTCACATGTGAACACTTTTTCACACATTTCCCTATGCCTGACTACAACTTACTATGCAGGAATCCATTCTTTCTAACTGTGCCTGTTCATACTTGTATGCTCAAACACCCTATGATCTATGCCCTATGCCCATAGCACCACATAAGCTTTTATTAAGCGTAGTCAGGTGTTCTTAATCCAATAGACTTCAATGGGAATGCCTGTAAATGTAAATTTTTAAAAAAATGTAGCATACTTAAGTGCTATAATCAGTTTTTTTTTTTTCAATGAAGCAGGTGTGGCCCTCACTAGACCCTTGAAGAGTGCAGTCCCTTCAAGATTAATTCCACTAAATTCAAGACATTGTTTGAGATTGTCATGACTAACGCATTTGATTCCATGTTCATGCTTCCAACATTTCTACTGCTTTAAATGACTAATTGTGCATTAACATTATGGGATTGATTTACTAAAACTGGATAGTGCAAAATCTGGTGCAACTCTACATAAAAACCCCAATCAGCCTCCAGGTTTTTTTTTTGTCAAAGCATAATTGAACAAGCTGAAGTTAGAAGCTGATTGGCTACCATGAACAGCTACACCAGAGTTTGCACTCTCATTTTAGTAAATCAACTCCTGTCTCATACTGATGCAAATAAATGGAACTATAAATCAAAAAAATGTTGCCTGCATAAATTCTACTTTTGCACATAACAATTCCCCATAGCATCCCCATCGGAGATTTTAATCTAAACTTCCTGCCTTATATAACATAACCTGTCATTTAGAAAACATCACAGTAAAATCTTCCATTTAGCATCCTTTGAATTTTTTTTTTTTCTCCCATAATATTTTTATTACCTTTGATGTTTTTATATTAACAGAAACATATGTTAATCCATTTTGCATCAGGACATTACACAGTTATATTATAAACAAATGCTGTATATATACAGTCATTTATCACATAATTCTGATGTGCATTACCTTTAGTATAATTGGAGTTCCAGGCTTTTGCTCAAGAATGCCTGTAGTGCTGAGAAGCTCAAATGTTGGGTTAGGGTAATAAATGAATTTGGTATTATTGAAGATCAGAAGAGACTGCACATTATTAAAGATAAATCCAAACTCGTCTGGCCTTTCCACAGCATCCAGTCCAGGACGATATTCTGGAGTAAGGGCAGGAGCCCAGCATGTCAGACAAGAGGCATTCACTATCTTACACACCTGGTGAGAAAACCAATGAAAAAAAAATGACAATACAATAACATCTATAATACTGGAGAAGGTTTACAAAACAGATGCATGGGAACTGCATTGAGCAATTCAGTGTCTGCTGCAAGTTCAGGATGTTTAATAAATAAAATGAACTAGGCACAATAATAAATTTATCATAAAATCTATAATCTGTCAAAAGAGTTAATAGACAATACCATACTAATATAATTGGTGGATTGGATGAGGTGGATTATTTCCTGAGTGATCTCTATGTTCTCTGAATACAATCAGTTCTATGAGAAATCCAACAAAGTTTAATAAAGTTCAGAAGCAATTTCCATGTTTAAATAATAATATGGGTTATGTATATATTTAAAAGTATATATATGTTATAATATGGGTTTATATGGATTCATGGATTATATAATATGGTAATTATATATATATTATATAATATGGTTTTTTGATTAACTTTAGCAATTTCTGTTTAGAAAATAATACAACCACTGCATTAAAACTAGCAGCATACTTGTTGCATTTTAGTTCATCTTACTAGCAGTAGATGGTGCTATGTCATCTTAAAGCTGCACAATTGTTGCACATATGCAAAGAAAAATGTATAAACCAAATTGCAGTACAATATACAATCAAAATCTGCATAAGTTATCACACAACAGTACTTGTAAATGTTGATAATCTTTTCTCCAAGCTAAACAAGCAAAAGCAGAAATCTTGTTAAAAATTACAAAAGAATGCCTGAGGAAGACGTACATTCACAGATTCCTTGCCATTATACTTCACTCGAATTCTTGGCTCCTGTATGATATCCAGGTTGGTACCAGAAATTGTAAGGGATGTGTGACCACTGTCAATTAAAATAACAGGGAAATCAGAAATAGGTTATGCCTATAGGTTGAACAACATAAACAAAAAATAATCAGAATATTTTGCAAAATAGAAGGATAATTTCTAGGCATAAAATGAATATATACTTTATCAAAGAACTTCAATATCAACAAGAATTATATAGAAGAAAAAAAAAAATAAGAGGTCAAGTCCTATTTGTGTAGTCCTTCATAGAATTAATAAAATTGCTAGGTTACAGTGTTGGCATTACAGTTCCAAACCCATAAATTCACAGTTCTAAAGCAAACCATACATGTAACCCGCAGTGGATCTAAAAATGGCAGCCCATGGATCCCATGGGTCCATGACTGCCCCAATTCCATTTCAGTCAGTAAAAGAAAAGGCCAATTGTGAAGTCTGTAACATTATGTGGGTTCAGTAAAAATGCTTCTTGCATAGAGAGCACATCTGTGAACTTGTGCAGTGCAGAAGGACCTTTCTATCACTTCTGCAAGAGAAGGAGAGTACAAAGAGCCTTTGAGAAAAGGTATGGAGACAGGTTTAGGGCAGGCTCATATTAGTACCCTTCTTGTGGGGTTTTAGGTGCAAAATCTTTGACATTCAAACTGCTTGTTTTTTAGGCTGTCTTGTATCTTTTAAAGGGTGAACTCCAAACAACTAAATACACAGATGAAATACCTATAAGGCAGCTGTTTTACCCATCACAGTATTTGTATTTCAGACCACTCAGTTCTGAAATGTATACTATACTATAACACAGCACAGCTCTGTCTCGCAGGGCAGAGGGACTGATTTTTTGTTCTGCTACAGTGAAGTAACATTACAGGGCATGTCTCTCCTCCAACATGTGACTGAACAGTGAAAGGAGATGCAGCACATCAATGATAATGAATTTGTCACTCTGATCTCTGCTACTATCAACATGTTCCTTATTAGTACATAAGCAAAATTGATTTAATCCTTGTGTTTTTTCTCCCCCTTCCAGTTTCAGCATCTCTGTACAGGAAATTGCTAGTAGCTTATATTAAGTCAAATGCAGGTACTTACGCTGCTCCCATGCCACTGTAAAACATACAACTTATGCTGCACTTCACCTTCACTGTGTTCTCCTTCCTCTCCTGTGCATTCCTTTTCCCTACCTCCTCCAAGTCTTTAGTAGCCCGAGATTATATGATTTTCATTCCTTCCACCACAGGTTTGTGTATGTTCGCTATTGTGTTCTGCTGGCTGCGAGCCTACCCGGCTGGCAGAACAAGATTACTGTTAGTGACTAAAGCCACCGGCAGTAATCGCATTTAAAAAATCCAACAGGCTGGTTGAACCCAGATTGATTGACGGATTGACTTGGGTACAATCAGCCTGCCCACAGATGGATTCGATTAATCTAAGGCTGGCTTTTGTGTTCTTGCTTCCTACCAGGTACAATTCAAGTTCTGCAGCAAACTGGGTGTGCGGCCACAATTAGGGCATGGTTTCATAGTAACAGGTTTGCAGGGGATTAAATTAAAGTAATAGGGTCCCTTTAAACAAACAGCACATATCTCTTCCTGGTACATTCTCCCTCTACAAAGCCAACCTGCTGCTTCTTTCACTGTGTAAATGGAATAGTGATGCCAGGGTTGCCAACTGTTCATTAATTTACAGATTGCAAAAATCTGCATTCTGAATTAATAAATGTATTGTTTAATTGTATTTACTATTTCATTCATACATTCATTGCAGAATATCTAGTTCCAACTTCACTTACCAATCTCTGGAGCCTTTCCAACCCTAAGGCTCTGTTCACATCTTTGCACCATGGCAACAAACACACCAGGGTACACGCAAATGAGTGTGTTGCACATTGTAGTACTGCAGTGCCATTAATTCTTAAGGCACCCAATGCACCTTGCCAACACACATGCATTTTAGCACTGTAAAATGCACAGTAATGCATTATAGTGCATTTTGTTGGTGTGCTGCATTTTAAAAAAAGTACATTCACATTTTTGGTGCATTTTAGTTCACTAGGGACCCTATTGAAATGAATGGACTACCCTAAGAGCCACACAGCACAACACACATTATTGCACAAAGTAACGCACGTTAATGTGCTTTTTTAATGTACCACAGAGGTGTAAACATGGCCTAAATAGTAGTATTTTTATTTTTATGTATGGGTTTCAACTGAATTATAACATGTTTACCAGGATTGAGGGTTGATTGCTGATTGCAGTGGGGACTGAACACAGCACACGGTGACACTTCAGAATGCCTGTTTTTACTGGAACATGAATGCATTTTGCGATTTTTTTATTTGAATAAATTAGTTAATCTGCACAATCCGGAGCGCTCTTGCTTGTTGCTCATTTTCAGTTTGAGCAATTTCAAGGAAAAAATAGTTAGAAGCTTGCAAGGATTAGTGTAATTGCTTGACTGTGATGTAGATCCTTCCCTTTTAACTTTGTCTGATCTTGGTGAGCATATCAAAATTTGATTCTTTTCCTATTTATCTTTGACTTCCCACCATACATACTATTGCTCACGTAAAGATATCAGTACAGACAGACCGATTAATTAAAAGATATTATACAGGGTCACATACATTTTCCTGCCAATTTAAAGCAACTCTGTTTCTCAAATGATTCCTGAAATAAAGGTCTCCCTGAAAAGAGGCTAGAGGCTAGATTTTCATCTCTTTTGTTGTCTGTGGAAGATATTTTAGTAACCAACACTTTGAGAGTGCCGGGCCGATTTTCTGGCAGTGGAAGGAACCACAGAGTGCAGAGAGGGACTAGAAAACTGATACTCCCAGAAATGTCAGTTTCTAACAAATCTTTAATGGGCAAGTACTACTGCAGTGATCAGGGGAACAGGCAGAAGGAAAGGTGAAAATTCAATGTTATCATTATATACTGTACATAAACAAATATATATATATTTTAAAAGCTTCTGGTGTTTATGGTAATTTGTGGTCTCTTGTTGTGGCACCATAGTAGGTAGTACATATAGAATACACCTCATTTCTTTTTTCTGTCACCTTAAATTGTTGTAAGTGAAGTGAAATGACAGAGCAATGGAGACTGTGGGAGAGTAAAGCTGGCCATACATGGGTTGAAATGTGGCTGGTTTAGCAGGGACCGGACAAATTTCGATCCATGTATGGGCACACTGGTTGTACACAAGCGGACCTATCTATCCATTTGTGTAAAACCAGCCTGTGAGGCTTTTCCCAAATGACCAGTGCCTCCGGCTGTAGCCAACAACACTGATTAATATTTTTCTGACAGTGGAAAGGCTCCCCACTGTCAGAGTACAATAAAACAAGGGGAAGGATTCTCCTATCCACACCGAATGCCTGCTAGTTGAACTAAAAAAAAAAAGAAAAAAAGATCTATGTATGGGCTGCTTTATACCTTATTTTTGTGGCTGAATTAACTTATATTTTGACACGCAATGCTCAAACAGTTCTGAGTAGTGTCAGAGCTCGGCATTTCCTTCCACCCTCCCCCATTCCTAGTTGTCCATCTCTATGACGCTCTGGCCAACAGAATGTGAAGGTGGTAGGAAGCGGACAGCAATCAGAAAATGCTAAAGCCTACCTGTCAAACCAGAATACCATTCAGCTGTAAATACAATATGCATTTACTTTATACCTGCAATTTTTCATTCCACTTGATGATAGATTACTTGTAAACCAATTTTTAACATACAGCTTAGCAACTACAATCTAATGCTTAAGAATTTACTTCCAAGAAGGTCATGCAAAGGCACCGTCACTATAGTATGTGAAAATGTATGAATTCTCGATTTATTAAAAGACAGAGAAGGACATTATATCATTGACAATGTATTTGGGTAAGGCTTATCATGAAGATGACTCTGGAACCACCCAAATGTCATTGTGAATCTTGTAAAGGCCAGTCATTGCAATGTAAAGGTCACTATGTAATTGCAATTCCCCTGGGTTAAGGCTTTTAGATGTCTGGGAACTACTCTCTTTCTCTGCCATAAAAACATATACCTTCAGTTATTGAAATAACCCTATGTTGATATATTTTTACTAACGTGTTCTAGGTAATAAAAAGTACAAAGACAGAAATATCATAGCAATCACAGCAAGCTGCACAGTGCTGGTGTACCTGTTGTATGTCTTCAGGTCCTGTGGCATTTTTAATACAGAAAACAAGTAAATGACCAATGGAACAAATCTCAGATCCCTGATATTCCCCAAACTCCCCATTTTTAAAGACCATCATAGGTACGTTTATAGGAAGACTAATTTAAATAGAACTGAACATTATGAGAGTTTTTCAAAATTGTATACTTAATAGTAACAGAATAGAATCTGAAAAGCCTTATGGCATAATTTTCAGCTCAAAGTACTGCACTCCTTCCTTTTATTTATTACAGATATTTATATAGCAGTTTACGCAGTGCTTTATATACTATACAATCACCCTCAAGGACTTACAATCTAAGGTCCTGATCTTAAATGCATACATACCTGCACACACAAGCTAGAACAGGAGCCAATTAACCTACCAGCATGTCTTTGGAGTGTTGGAAGTAATCCAGAGGAAACTTACACAAGCAAATGGAGGACAAACAAACGCAATGAAGTGTCCTGACTGGGTTCTGAACCAAGGACCCCAGTGCCACAAGGCAGAATTGCTAACAACCAAGCCACAGTTGCCTGTAATTTATTTTCCAAATGTCACTGTATCTCCTCACAAGCAAAGTACTCTCTTTAGCATCCAACACTTCCAAAACATCAACCAGAAAGAGTACTTATCAGTTGGCCATAACCCAATGTTTACGAAGGTCATCGAGCACTTTTCTTAGCCTTGCTCCCTGCTCTCTGTGTACCTCTCATTGCTATTATATCCTATGTGGATAAAACAGCAGTGAAACGTGTACAGAAAACAGGGTTAAAGGCAAACACGAGAACAAGAACTAAATTACCTGCATATACATTATATAAAGTCAAGGTCAACAGGTTAGCACCCTTCTTCTAGT